ACAGCCACCAGTTTGTCTGCTGTGAAGGTCGAAGAGGGTCGCATGTAGAGAAAAATGGCTGGTCCAAAGAACAAGATGACCACTGTGATGTGGGAGGCACACGTAGAAAGGGCTTTGCGCCTCCCCTCTGTGGAATGATTCCTCAAGTGGACCAGGATGACCATGTAAGAGAACACCAAGATGAGGAACGAACACAAGGCAATTAAGCCACTGTTGACCAATACAGAGACTCCCTCCACAAAAGTGTCAGTGCAAGCCAGCTTGAATAATGGCAGAAGGTCACAGAAGTAGTGGTCGACTACGTTGGGACCACAGAAGGGCAATTCGATGGTGATAAGAATCTGAATTATGGAGTGTAAAAATCCGCCTACCCAGGAACCCGTTACTAGTACATGGCACAGTTGACGGCTCATAATGTTCATATAGTGGAGAGGTTTGCAGATGGCTACGTACCGGTCATAAGCCATCACCACGAGCAAAAGGATCTCAGTGACCCCAAAGAAGTGGAAGAAGAAGATCTGAGTCAAACAGCCCTCCAGGGAGATGGTTTTAATCTCGGTGAGCAAGTCAGTGATGAACTTAGGGACAATAGTAGAGGAGTAACTGATCTCCACCAGGGACAGGGAGCTAAGGAAGAAGTACATGGGGGAATGCAGACTCTTGCTGACACTGACTGTCAACACGATGAGGCCATTGCCCACCACCGTGGCCAGGTACACAGGAAGGAACACCACAAAGCACACCCTCTGCACCTCTGGGTCCTGGAAGAGGCCGGTGAGAATCAATTCCGTCACATTATTTGTACTGCCCTTGGGTCCCATTTGGGGATGATGGATCTCAGAGAAGATTACCTTTGACGAGACAAATGCAATCATTGCACAAATCTGCTTGTTTAGTACTTGATTCATTTATAGAATCCTTCACACATCTTGTCTTGTTGGCTTATTTATTTATGTAGGTAGGTTTTTGGTTAGTCAAACAGTAAATGTGTATGCATTGGTGTTTAATGGGCTACTCTATAGAAGACACATTATTCAAACAACCTTGCAAAACCTCCATGATCCTCATATTTCACACTAGGCTCATAGAAGTCGTCAGTTAGTCAACCTCCCTGTAAGACATGGACCCAGGACTAGAGTCAGATCGCTGTGCTTCAGTTCATCTATTCCTTTAAGAGCACACATTGTAAACACTAATCACTATTTTGAGTACAAATCGCTTTTGTAATAAAAAATAATGTTCCTCCCATTCTCAATGTTTTACACCATGTTTTTGTCTCAGAAATTCTCAAGTGGGCTTCTGCTCTGGAATCCCTTGGTTCCTCCATCTCTCCCTCTGGAATTCCATTCTCATTGATATTTCTCCTTTTGTTACAAGTCTCTTTGATATATGCCTTGCTTGCACTATTTAAATCTCTTAACTCTGTTAGGCCTATGACTTTTATCCCACAGGTTCATGAATTTTCACAAGAACACTGGGGACAGGTTGACATCTAAGAGTGAAACAACCATCTGTAAGTTGTTCAGAGTAAAGCTTACAATTAAATAATGATTTATATATAATATATGGCGCTCATAAGTTTGCCTGTCTCTGCGTTCCAGTTTGCTGGGAAACATTTTTGGCAGCAGGACATGAGACTCAATCTTCTCACTGGCATCGGATCAATGCCAACTCACCCTCAACCTTACTATCCAATAAAAAGACAATCTCAGTTCTACAAGATGTTTCTCATCACAAGAGCATCCCTCCTAATTTTCACACTACCCAGCACCTGCCACTTGTCCCTTCTCTAAATCCTACGCACTCTATGTCCATTATCTAGGAAGCTTTTCCTGGTTACTTTAGCCCAGTTCATGAACTCTGGAAATTGGTTCAAGTGATTTTTCTGTGAAATGCAGCAAAGCTCGCCATGTTCAGCTCAGTAAGCTCTCAATAGCTGTCACAGTTGTTATACTTCTAGAATACAAATCTGATCAGCTCATGCATAGGCTTGCAATCCATCAGTATGGGGTGGAGGGTGGCATAGGGGAGCTTATACCAAGGGCTGAAGTAGAAATTTGATGAAAATGATGATGGCAGCATATGTACATGTATGCTTGATGCAATTGAGGTATGGAATGTTATAAGAACTGTAAGAGCCCCCAATAAAATTTTTACACATCCATCAGTGGTTTTCCTTTACCTACAAGTCCAATGTCATTATCATGGCATATGTGGCCCTCTCAAAGTGCACCTAGTTCTTCTATGCGGTTTCACTAGCCATCAGTCTCCCTGAGTCTATATGCCAACCGTTCTGAACTATGTGCCCTTCTCCCAAATGTGTTCTTTGTGTAGGCAGCTCCCTCCACTTAGTGTGATGAGCCATGGTGATGCAGTGGCCTTAACATTGGGCTGCTAATTGAGGCATTAGCACTTTGAGCCCCCAAAATCAGCAGCTCACTTACCCACTTCTCTCCACTTACGGAAAATACATGACATTATTTGATATAATTGTTTTAAATTTCATAACTGGCCATTTTACTTGTTTGTTAGAATATACAACGTGTGTTCTTTTATGTTACCCTATTCATTCTAAAGACTCAGAATGACCTGTGGGTGTGTGTCTAAGAGATTAGGCATTTATGTGAGTTTTAAAATATTTGTCAAAATAACACTGGACAACACAGAGAACAGAAGATGTCTGCTACAGACTTTGGGCTTCTACTTAAATCTTACTTCAGTACAAGAACTGTTTGTTCTAATAATGTGGCAATGTATGATACTCACCTTCCCAATACAATTGCTGAAGACAAAATGTATAAGTAAATGTGGTGAAGAAAGCTGATGGATCCTGGTTAGCAAAAGATATAGCATCTGGGGTCTTCAAGGCTTGTGGTTAAACTAGCAGCCATCTAGCAGGGAAACAACAAAGCCCAATGGAAGAAGCACACCAGCCTGTGAGATCATGAAGTATGGATGGGAATAGGTATCAGAAGTTCAAAACCAAGTAATCAAATTGATGAGAAAAAGCATAGACAAAGTGGAGACCCAAAACCCACCTATAATTTAATTGGACAGGCCCTCACAGAAGGGCTATATTGGAGGGATGATATGTCCAGGAAGCAACATAGCACTGATGAAACACAAAAGTATCCTCTAGTTCTTTACTATTTCCTCCACGTACTATTATGGTCCCAGTTTTACCTCATTAAGCCTGTTAGACCCGCAATATTCATTTGTATATTGAAGACCATTCAATGCATGAATTGCAATATAGATAAATCCATCAGAAATAGTAATGGGAACAATGATTCCATGGGGATATGGAAAGAGGGGTGGGGGGAGGTGGAACCAAAAGCAAACATGACTGTATAGCCCATCTCAAAGGGAACAAATAACCGAATCATAGGGGAACAGATACAGTGCATAATGTAATATATGGCCAAAAATTAATAATAATAACTATTTCTAATATAAGAATAAGGGCTCCTGGGTGGTAGGCTGGGAAAGGCTGTGGATAAAGGGGAGCTGATATCAAAGAGTTTGAGAAGAAAGAAAATGTTTTGAAAATGATGGTGACAATAGTTGTACTATCATACTTGATCTAATTGAATTATGGATTGTTATAATATCTGTCAGAGCTCCCAATAAAAAAATTTTTTTAAAAGATGTCCGCTGTGGAACATAATGATTTGAAGTACCTCCTGGTCCCAGCTCAAGGAGCGCTGGTGTATTGCTGGTTAAGTTCTGGACTGCTAATGGAAAGATCAGTAGTTTGTACAGGTGCTCCCAGGAGAAAGTTGTGGAAATCTGCTCTCATGAATATTTACAACCTCAGAAACCCCATGAAGCAATCCTACTCTGTCCTGTAGTCAGATGTCACACAAAGACGGTGGGTTTGGATTCTTTTTCTGCCCTCAGCTCATGGAAAATGTCTATAGAGTAGACAGCAAACTTCATTTCAAAGCTGTAGCATGTGTGCCTTTGACTCAGTGGAATAAGATGGCTATTAGATCTACATTGTCCAGAATTTCATATTTTAGATGAGGAAGAGTCTTACCTAAGTTGTATGAGGGCAACAGAGCCAGAAAGGAAAACATAAACTAATAACTTTAAACTCTAAATAGCTTTTTTAAATCTTGATCTATTTGTTGATAAATTCATCACTAATCAAGATTATACATACACACCACTCAAAGAAACAAAAACATACAGGAAGGGGCTTCAAAAAGTTCAGGGACTAATTCCAAGATCTTGTCAGTCCCTTTTCCATGAACTTCTTGGAAGCCCCTCATATTGAACACAGCCTGTGGGGATCAAGAAGTAACAGATAGTTCCTAAAGCCACACAAACTACATAAAATCAGAGTGAACAATAACAGACTGTATAGAAATAAAGTATGGTGCATTGCATGAGTTATGTTATTTGCATGGGTTATGGTAAAAATGTCTTCATTTTTATTCTATTCAACCAATTGCCAGAGGAGACAAGTTTAGGTCCCTAGAGCTCTAAAGGACTAAGGAAAAACAAACCAACACATCGGGCTGAGCTTTCTTGTACCCTCCTTGGACAGGCGTCTGGACGTGGTTAAGTAAGCAATCATTACAGCCAACAGCCAACTGTTGGCTCTCCTGCTCACCTATCATGTATCTCTGTGAGCTGATTTGCTTACTTTTTAAAATGGAAAGTGATGTACACTCATCATGGTAACTGAAAGAATTAAATGTGAGAGAAAATATATAAAACACGTAACAGAAGCTCACACTAAATGTAACTATTATTAATTCAAACTTCTAGGTATTTATTCACATTTCTCTCTGCTTTCTCTTTCCTCCTTGCCCAAGAGATAGACAGTGAGTAGCAATTGCCTCTTTCTTCCTCCCGTACCTTCCCAAATAGAATCTTCAAAGTAGAATGATAGATTAAAAGTGGCTAAGAATATACAGAGCCTTGGCTACAAGTTGAACTGTTAACCACAAGGTTGACCTTTCCAATCCATCTGCCATTCCTAGGGGGAAAGACGAGCGTTTCTGCTCCTATAAAGATTTACAACCTCGGAACCTCCCAGACAGCTCCACCCTGCCCTATAGGATCACTCTGAGTTGGAATCAACTCGATGCCAGAGAGGGGGTTGTTAGTTGCTGTTGTTTGGTTGGTTTTCTCTTTTGTTTTGGTTTGGTTTGGTTTTTGTATTTTTTTTTTTTTTTTGTGAAAGATGTAAAAACCTAGGTGGTAAAATGATGGTATGGATATTAATGAGGTAGAATGCTTTAACCTAACATAGAATCCCAATAAGAGAAATCTGACAAAGACAAAATAATAACATGCTAGAGAGCCTGAAAGATCTATTGCTTTGAGTTCAAAGTCCCATCACAAGCATCTCTTTCCCGCTCCTCAGTTGGGACCACAGCTGTATAAAATCTCAGAATGTGAGTGCTGATTGAATGCATATGTTCAGTCTTTTCATTTTACAAAAGCACATCCTCGATCACACAGTGATTTGGAATCTCTTAGTTCCACTCAGTCAACTTGAAAAATCATCTGGGCACAGAATTACTTACCTTGTTAGGTAATACTCAGTCTTAGAGCGAGGGATTGCATGTGCAGGTTCTTCCCTTAGGCTTGTCACAGGGCTCTCTCACTCCATTATAAGAGCCGGTCATTCAGGGGGATGTCCTGGGCTGTTATTACTGAAAGGGTTTAGTCTAGAACACAGAGATGCTGGAACTATTTAAAATAAATTGAGCCACAAACTGTAATCTGGGGATCAAATTCCCCATGCACTTTCTTGTCTTCGGTCTACAACCTTGGAATTGAGAATCAGGAAAAGGTTCAAAATGTA